CCGGCCCGAGATTCAGATGGACGTCCCCGGATAAAAGCAGCAACAGGAGTAGAAGTCTGCACGCTTTCGGGAAGGAAGTGTGGTTTAAGGTTTCGTTTCACGGTGGCTTGTTTACATGGGTCTCCCGGTGCCTGCATGGCCTATCGCCGTAACACAGCGGAGAGAAAATCCATAAAGAGCCATATATATTGTGGTGAAAATTGGACATTGCCATCTCTCTGTCCTGTCTATCATGAGAGTCAGTGCATATTCAGTAAAAGCCGTGGTGTGATGCACTTTTGCTGCTAACAGAGAGCAGTCAGCCAATATCCACAAGAACAGGTAGACTCGTAGCGGAAAATCAGGGCTACAGATGAGCAGCGGTTCAGAAGAAAATCATTGCCGTCGCAAAACACCCATTTTGCATGAAGTTTGCAGGAAACACTCTCTTTGTTTAGCTACTGTCCATTAGGGCTTTTTTCTAGCGCAAGATGATCGGCGTTTTTGATGTAATAAGAAAAATAAGAAAAGTCCTGCGATGCGCTCGCTCATCTTTTGGGTCCTAGCGTCTGAGGAGGGGGTCACGTTTTTACACTCTACAATGATTTTCGGTTTTAATAATTAGAAAACATTGAATGATCCAAAATAAAATGTATTTTATGTTGTTACAAATGGCAAATGTACAAGTCCAGAAGCTTTGAATCATGTTTATAAAGTCTGTATTTACATGATGGGAAAACGGAATGTTTAAGTGTGCAGGCCTTAACCCTGAGTTTTCTACTGTAGGTTTATGTGATGAGTGATAGTATTAACTCTGTCTGCTATAAATCCTGACAATTAGTTTTTTATGATTCATTATTTTTCTATAAGTCATTCAACAGTGATCGTGAATAAAGACACAGTTCTTGTTGAAAACATAGTTATATATTAAACAGTTTTCAGCACAAAAGACAAACAATAATAGTGGGAATACAATACGATGTATATATTTAGATATAAGTTATATATATGTTTATATAAAAGTTCTACTATATTTAGATAGACCACAGTCTCCTGTATATTCAGGCTCGAGCCCAAACTAGCTTTTCCTTCGAAGCACAAAGCCCTCTGCTCCATATGCCTCGTCCATGCTCCTGTCTGCAGGCCGCTCCGTGCTCTCCTCCAATACACACAAACCACGGACCAATCACAGCGAGCTCCTTGCTGCGAAACCTTAAAAGAGCAATATGTAAAAATCAGGGGCAAAGGTGGAACTGCACGTCGCACCAGTCATAATTTTAGCTCCTCCACTCTCCCTGACTCAGGATGCCAGATTCACAACAAATACCAGCAGCAAACAACAGGGAATTTATTTTTATCAGTTGTTTGTCCGCTCCATTCACATGGCCATGACAGCCGTGCTAATTGCCTTAATGAATGTTTTGATTAATGTTTTTTTATATTATTATTGACATTTGAGAGTAAAAAACCAAAAACAAAATAAACGCAATGTAATTATACATAGTTTATGGCAAAATAAATAAGCAATTGATGTTCAAAAATAGGAGTGGGAAGAATGGATGTTGGAACGTATTTCTTCAGCGTATCAACGATCGAGGGTTTGCTCAAGAGGAATATCAACTTACATTTTATTTATTCCTAACATTCGTAAAAGTCCCCGACATCAAAAAGAGACTAACATTATATTAATTGGGGTACATGTGGTCTTAAATGATTAGTTTTACAATTAAGCTATAATCTGCAAAAAAAAAACGACTCTGACCATCATCTTTTACCGTTTTTAGAGCAATCTGTCATAGAATGTGATAACATGCAGATAAATAACAAAATGACATAGCCCGGGATCGCACCCAGGGTTCCTGGCATCGTAAGCGCGCACAGTTTTAGACGCACTAGAGTCTTGTGGTTCCCAAAGTGGGGGTCCTGACCCCCCGTGGGTCGCGGAACCCTGGGGGGGTCGCAAGATGAATTCCACACAAAAAAAGACTATAAAATTATGTTTTAATAACGTTAGTATTTTGTCCCATCCATTGCAGCGTCATCAAATCATCACGAACACAGCTCAATGCCAGCGACAAAGCGTGTCCTGCTGTTGTTTGCTAACAACTAAAGTGTTTGGAGGCTACAAATAAATAATGACCTGCTTTAAACTGAAACGTGTTAATATCTAACAACAGAAAAACCGCCCGGAGGGGGAGAAAAGTCACTGTATCAGTGGCTGATGGTGCGAAGAGAGGGAAGAGGGCAGAGGAGGGAGAGGAAGGGCAGAGGAGGGAGAGAGGCAGGAGGAGGGAGGCAGGAGAGGGCAGAGAGGGGGCAGAAGGAGGGAGGAGGAGGGAGGGAGGGGCAGAGGAGGGAGCGAGGGCAGAATAGGAGGGAGGAAGGACAGAGAGAAGAGTAGGGAAGAGGGCAGCGGAGGGAGGGCAGCGGAAGGGAGGGAGGGCAAGGAGGGAGAGAGGGGCGAAGCGTAGGGAGAGAGGGCAGCGAGGAGAGAGGGCAGAGGAGGGAGAGGGAGGACCGAGGAGGGAGAGAGGAGGCAGAGGAGGGAGAGAGGGCAGCGGTAATACAGCGCGCGTTAAGAGGCCGCTGCTTTCCCGGAGCTCAGCGGTAAAGCGAGGTCCCACATTAAAAGCGGGTGGCCGCTTTCTGCTGTTACTTTATGCGGTTCATCCCCCGCGGCCTTCTCTTTCCAAAGTTACTGTCAGTAAAGGCATAAACCGCCCACCCCTTTTAATTGTGCGACCTCTTTACTTTGACTCCGAAAAGCCCGGGCCTCTTTAACGCGCTGTTCCTAGGGAACGTCTACACCCGCTGCCCTCATCTCCCTCCTCTGCCTCATCTCCCTCCTCTGTCCTCCCTCTCCCTCCTCTGCCCTCATCTCCCTCCGCTGCCCTCTCTCCCCTCCGCTGCCCTCATCTCCTTTGTCCCCTCCTCTGCCCTCCCTCCCTCCGCTGCCCCCCTCCCGCTGGCTCCCTCTCTCCCTCCCCTCCTTCCTCTGTCCTCCCTCCCTCCTCTGCCTCTCTCCCTCCTCTCTGCCCTCCCTCCCTCACCCCCCTCCTCGGGCCCTCTCTCCTCCTCTGCCCTCCCTCCTCTGCCCTCTCTCCCTCCTGTGCCCTCCTCTCCCTCCACTGCCCTCGTCTCCCTCTCATTCGCACCATCAGCCCCTGATACAAGTGACTTTTTCTCCCCCTCCGGGTTTTCTGTTTTGTAGATATTAACCAGCGTTTCATTTAAAGCAGGTATTTTTTTATATTGTAAGGCCTCCAAACACCTTTAGTTTTAGCAAACAACAGCAGGACGAAACGCTTTGTCGCTGCGCAAGTGAGCTCGTGTTACGTGATGAATTTTTGATTGAACGCTGCAATGACTGGGGCAAAATTACTAACGATATTAAAATATATTATATCTTTTTGTGTGGTAAATCATCTTGGCGACCCCCCCAGGGGTTCCCGGCCGACCCCCCGGGGGTCCAGGACCCCCCCAACTTTGGGTAACCACTATACTCTAGGTGTCTAAAACTGTGCGCTTACGATGCAGGAACCCCGGGTTCGATCCCCGGGCTATGTCTTTTGTATTTATTGCATGTTATCACATTCTATGACAGATTGCTCCAAGAAAAAACGGTAAAAGATGAAAGGTCAATGACAGCACCTCCCCACTCACACTCACTACCTTCCTAACTAAATTCCGTTATGTTGTCTGTATAAATGAATAAATGTGGAGGGGATTTCCCAACTACAATGGTCCCCACAAATACAGACACCAGACAAGTGTGTTAAGTGTGGTCCCCACTTAATTAGGAACACCAGACTGTGCTTGATAAAATGTGTGAAACCAAAATGGAACTGATCTGAATTGACCTGTGATAGAAGAACTGGTGTAAACGTGTACAAGACAAACTTAGCTAGTGGTATGGGCCACGTGTAATAGATTGTGTTTTGTTGCCTGTATGAATGAGGGTATTACCAAATACCGTGGTCCCCACAAATACAGACACCAGACAAGTGTGTAATAACAGTAAAAAGACTGGTTGGTCCCCACTAATAAGAGAAAAAACAGACTCCGCTTGGCAACATGTGTGAGACCGAAATGGAACTGATCAACTAAACCAGGCAGTGTGCACAAGAGCAAACATTGCAGAACAAACTCATTCCTACCTTCATGGTGGAAGTTGAGGGCCTCTCTGAAGTTTCCAGAACAGCAGAGAAGACTGCACTGTCAGATGACTCAACGTCAGCATCAATTGTTTGTTCTTGTGTCTGAAATAAGAGAAAAAAATATTCATAAGCAATGAGCAGTTTTTCAACAGTAAAGCAACTATTTTGGTAAATAAATCAGCTTAGTTTAGAAGAGAAAAGCATATATTGGAATGAACATCTATATCTCTGTGTTCTGGCCCAAAATCATATGTATTTTCAATAGGTTGAACTTATTTCTGGTTAAAGTGTAAAAAGTGTAGCCTGTTACAGTATTTCAGTGAAAGCTACAACTGAAAACAAGTGAATAGCAAGCATTACAGGGTTGTTTTGACCTGTGATAGAATAACTGGTGTACCCTGTACAAGACAAACGTGGCTAGTGTTACGGGCCACATGTAATGGACACTGTTTTGTTTTCTGTATGAATGAAGGTGACGAATCAATGTGAGTAAATGTGGAGGGTATCACCCAACAATGGTCCCCACAAATACAGAGACAAGTGTGTTAATGTGTGGTCCCCCACACTTAATTAGGAACACCAGGTGCTTGATAAAATGTGTGAAACCAAAATGGAACCCAACCTGTGATAGAAGAACTGGTGTAAACTGTACAAGACAAACTTAGCTAGTGGTATGGGCCACGTGTAATAGATTGTGTTTTGTTGGCTGTATGAATGAGGGTATTACCCAACTACCTGTGGTCCCCACAAATACAGACACCAGACAAGTGTGTAATAACAGTAAAAGACGGGTTGGTCCCCACTAAATGAGAAAAAACAGACTCCGCTTGGCAACATGTGTGAGACAAAAATGGAACTGATCACCTAAACCAGGCAGTGTGCACAAGAGCAAACATTGCAGAACAAACTCATTCCTACCTTCATGGTGGAAGTTGAGGGCCTCTCTGAAGTTTCCAGAACAGCAGAGAAGACTGCACTGTCAGATGACTCAACGTCAGCATCAATTGTTTGTTCTTGTGTCTGAAATAAGAGAAATAAACATTCATTAGCAATGAGAAGTTTTTCAACAGTAAAACAATTATTTAGGTAAATAAATCAGCTTAGTTTAGAAGAGAAAAGCATACATTGGAATGAACATCTATATCTCTGTGTTCTGGCCCAAAATCATATGTATTTTCAATAGGTTGAACTTATTTCTGGTTAAAGTGTGAGAAGTGTAGCCTGTTACAGTATTTCAGTGAAAGCTACAACTGAAAACAAGTGAATAGCAAGCATTACAGGGTCGTTTTGACCTGTGATAGAATAACTGGTGTACCCTGTACAAGACAAACGTGGCTAGTGTTACGGGCCACATGTAATGGACACTGTTTTGTTTTCTGTATGAATGAAGGTGACGAATCAATGTGAGTAAATGTGGAGGGTATAACCCAACAACCGTGGTCCCCACAAATACAGACACCAGACAAGTGTGTTAAGTGTGGTCCCCACTTAATTAGGAACACCAGACTGTGCTTGATAAAATGTGTGAAACCAAAATGGAACTGATCTGAATTGACCTGTGATAGAAGAACTGGTGTAAACTGTACAAGACAAACTTAGCTAGTGGTATGGGCCACGTGTAATAGATTGTGTTTTGTTGGCTGTATGAATGAGGGTATTACCCAACTACCGTGGTCCCCACAAATACAGACACCAGACAAGTGTGTAATAACAGTAAAAGACGGGTTGGTCCCCACTAAATGAGAAAAAACAGACTCCGCTTGGCAACATGTGTGAGACAAAAATGGAACTGATCACCTAAACCAGGCAGTGTGCACAAGAGCAAACATTGCAGAACAAACTCATTCCTACCTTCATGGTGGAAGTTGAGGGCCTCTCTGAAGTTTCCAGAACAGCAGAGAAGACTGCACTGTCAGATGACTCAACGTCAGCATCACTTTGTTCTAGTGTCTGAAAAAAAATAACTATAACTATACTATATATCATTATATTTCATTATGAAATCACTTGGATGTAGACAGGCAGACCCACCAGTATATAGTTAAATCCAAGAAAAAATATCTGGATAATGAAATGTTACACTAGAGCAATCATTGATAATCTTACTAATTATGACAAACCTGTTTTCTCCATGGCCAATCTTTTCCCCCATAGTCATATGTGATTTCTTGTCCTGGATGAATTTCCCTCAATGCAAAGAGGAAAAGGTGTGGTTTGCCCTCTATTATGACCCTCTTCATTTTGCAGTTTGGGTGCCTGTGGTCATCATTGACGAGTCGTCCAAGGCTACCATCTTCTCGGGATGCATCAATACTTGAGATTGGAAAACATATATTCATATTAATTAAAACATTAATTTACCAATTAAATGAAGGTCCATAACTATTTAGAAATGGCTATACATGCTATCCATTTGAGCATTATAAAATCTCCTGCTCTTGGAAAAATAGGCAGACATTTATCAAAACCTTACCACCATATTTTTTCCTTCCAGTAGAACTCATAAAGAAAAACGGCACTCGCTCTGTGGTAAGTCCTCCTCCTTCTTTGTGATTCTTCCCAAGTTATTAAATCTCCTCTGTACTCAACCACGAAGTCACCCTTTCCAAATTGGCATTTGGCAAACACCCCACGACCTAGAGAAACATCAATCGATTAGGCAAGGCAAGTTTATTTGTATAGCACAATTCATACACAAGGCAATTCAAAGTGCTGAACAAAATAAGAAAGCATTAATATCATAAATAATTATCCAAACTTTATTTATAAAGCGCTTTTCATACAAAAAAATAACAACACAACGTGCTTTACAGTTTGGTTAAAAACATGTCCCGCCGGCACATGTGTTTACTATGTCATTTTTCAACACCTTAAAGCTTCACTTAAGATAAAAAAAATGTATATATATATAGAGATGATTACAGCTTAAGTATTGATTAATCGCATTTCGAACTATCGACAAAATGATGCCATATATTGCAGGTAAATGGTTGTTTGAATGGAAAGATACATGACAAAATAGTGTTCATTTGTACTGTAGTTGTTTATTAGAACAAATACAGCACTGTATTTGTTCTATGTACTGTATTTGTAGTGACTCAAACCAAAATTAATGTTTGTTACAGATGAGGGATATTTAAAACAGTCTGAGGCAGAATGTCATTAAATCTGTTTGATTTGGTTACACCATTACTTTTGGACACAAGTAGTGGAAGGGAAAATTAGGTACCCAAGCTTTAATTTAGCGAGTGCGCTTCGGGAGAAGACGCGGAGGAGACTGAGGCTCCGCAGTCCAGCTTCTGCGCTGTATTTTTTGTGTGCACCGGTTAAGCAAAGACACGCACATTACAAGCAGAGAATAGTTCTGTGCGTGTATGTCTTGGATATTGATCAGCAAACGGCGTGATCACAGCCGCTGGAGGAACTGCTGTCCAGAGCGTCCGCAGCTTGCAGAGTTCATACAGGAAACAGCAGCAAGTGCCTCGCGGTCACAAATAATAAACGTGTGTTAAAACTTCCAAAAATGCCATTTTATAAACTGGAATCCGTTAATTCAGGTTGTGCAAATCTTGTGCATTCCCACCATTTAACATCTACTCTTTGTAGTATACCATTTGTGTTTCTCAAGTTTTTAGTAATCCGCAGCTACTAAGTTCAGAAACTACGCAATCACAAAATGATATAGCCTCAAGTTAACGGTGCTTAGGCATGTGTTTTGTGGTTTGGGGTGTTTTGCATATTTTATGCTTGTCGCCTGGACAAATGGATAATGTAGTTCGACTTTCTCACATTAATGCTAAGAACCGGGTCAGAACATCTTGTGTTGCACATTCGGCTATGTTCTCAATACTGTTATAGTGAAAAATGTTACTTTTGTGCATATTTGTGTCAAGCCATTACTGAATGTAAAAAAATGACACACACATACAGTACCTTTATAGGGGTTAATGAATTGCACATCCAATTCCACCGTCTTGTCCTGTGCTTTTGTGGCATGTATAGTAGCGTCCTCCATTGGAAGTTTCCTCCTGCTTCTTGTTGCCATTGTTATTCCTATTTTGAAATACAAAGCATTAACAATGTCATAGAACACCCTCCATACATCTTTTATTTTATAAAATTATGCTTTAGTTTTGTCAGACAGCCAAATCTACACAACATTACATAGAGACAGATGACGCAATTATTTTTTACAGCTTGAATTAAAGAGAAGTAAAGACCTGGTGGCCAACCAGCAGACATATGATATTGTTTGAATTAGATACAACACGCAATCGCTGAATATCAATTATATTCATGCAATGCACTGTGCTGTGCTGGTAGAAATGGCATGGGCCACTTGTTAGCTGGTCTGCTAACAAGAGGTAACTATAGAAAACTAAGTAAAGATTTGATATTCAATATTTTGAATTGTTTACAACTATCTGATATAAATAAATATGTTTTAGTTATGTCAGACAGTAAAATGTAGACCAGATTACATAAAGACAGATGTTAGTTATATTTTAAGTCAGAAAAACAATCACTCAATGGGTACCTGTGCAGACGTGATCCCTGGTGCATGTACACCACACTCAACACCTGGTAGCCACCCAGCAGATATATAAATAAGTCCCCGTGCGCGTGCTGTGGTTCCCGCGGGAGCCCCGGTGCGCGTGCAGACGTGGATCCCGCGGGAGCCCCGGTGCAGGTGCAGATGCAAACGTGGATCCCGCGGGAGCCCCGGTGCGCATGCAGACGTAGATCCCGCGGGAGCCCCGGTGCGCTTTCAGACGTGGATCCCGCGGGAGCCCCGGTGCAGGTGCAGATGCAGACGTGGATCCCGCGGGAGCCCCGGTGCGCATGCAGACGTAGATCCCGCGGGAGCCCCGGTGCGCTTTCAGACGTGGATCCCGCGGGAGCCCCGGTGCAGGTGCAGATGCAGACGTGGATCCCGCGGGAGCCCCGGTGCAGATGCAGACGTGGATCCCGCGGGAGCCCCGGTGCGTGGATCCCGCGGGAGCCTACAGACGTGGGGAAGCCCCGGTGCTCAGCAGGGCGTGGAGTACCGGTGTTTACAGCGGGTTTCCACGCTCAAGACCCGGTGGACACCCAGCCAGCTGATATATAAATAAATTAATTCCACTACAACACGCACTTGCTGTATACTAATCGAATTTATGCATTGTGATTACACTGTGCTGATAGAAATGGCGCAGGCCACATGTTAGCCCATTAGCTTGCATTAGCTGCTCTGCTAACATGAGGTAGCTTGAGGAAACAAAGTTCCTAACTAAACTAAAACTAAGTAAACTAGGTTTACTCAATGGCCGAACACATGCATTTAATCTCATACAACTGTCTGATATAAATAAATCTTGTCTTTGTATAAGTATTTGTTAAACTTACCTTTTTGTTCTCACTCATGTCTCAACCGTGTCAATGGCACTGAGAAGTAAATCCTTCCACGCACATGCGCAGATGAGTCAAGTGTGTGTGAAGTGTGTATTCTTGCAGTACCAGATCCGACCAGTAGTTGGCAGCACTGAGAGAGACTTGTTATACACACTTTTACACACTTTTTCAGATATATGTGATATCTGGGGTCAGCCCTGAAAATTTGTCAGGGAACTCCCCTGACCTTCTTTTCAATGAATCTAATGGTCACCCTCGTGGGGACCAGGTTTTTGGTCCCCACGAAAATTTCGGTCCTCACGCCGTGAGTGTGCTGTCTGACCACGGTCCCCACCAAGTGGGAAAGACAAACACACGCACACACACACACACACACACACACACACACACACACATGCACACACACACACACATACACAAATACATGCATGCACACACACACATACACAAATACATGCATGCACACACACACACACACACACATACACACACACACACACACACACACAAATACATGCATGCACACACACACACATACACAAATACATGCATGCACACACACACATACACAAATACATGCATACACACACACACACACAAATACATGCATGCACACACACACACACACACACACACACCTCAGCAAACAGAACAGACAGGAGCTGCATGGCGCTGATAAAAGACCTGGTCTCACTGTGATGCCAAGTCACACTGTAGCTTGTATTCTGAAATATCACGTTTTATGTACATCATTTTGAAAAGATTAAATGTACTCAGTTACAGTAAATTGTTTGATTTTTTTAGAGAAGAGATCTTCTATCAACTAAAGCTAACGTGCTCGTCAATCGTTTTGTCGCCTTGCATAAATACTATATGTATTAAATATTCAATATTTGTTTACACAGCGCGCACAAGTCAACAATGCACTCAAAAAATTGTAATCACTTCACACTAATTATTACTTATTCTCCTAATCGAGCAATGTTTATTTATCTGCATCAAAATAAAAAAAAGAAAGAGTAGAAAGCCTCCCCCCAGCGACCACTTGTACACCACACGACGCCTTAATCACGCTAATTAATTTAGGTGAGCTTTTCAACTAAATGACAATATCCACACTGATTTGTCAATTTGCATAGCTAATTAAGTCATTAGCTAAAAATGTGCTGATTGCCAACAAGCCATGCATTTGCCATCTGTTCCTGCGGGGAGGGCCTGTCAACCACCTCTGGCCAAAACCTCAGCCAAAACAAGAGAACGTCTTGTATGTGGGAACAGCTGGTGGCTAGTCAGAGACCGGGGAGCACTAATTGTGAGCTAATTAATACTGTCTACTCATCTCGTTAAGACTTAGCATCGGGGCTAGCCATGCTTTATTTGCTGCTTAGCGGAGTCATTAGCATATAGTCTGTTAGCAGGGATTATGGGGCGGGTGTTTAGAGGCTATTGGCGACTACACGGGAATCTCAAGCAACAAGTGGAAAGTGACGCGCTGTTTCTTTATTCTTTCTCCTAGTTTTGCTCGTTAGACAACTTTTATTCATTTTTATATACTCTCTTATGCAGGGACGGCTAGTATCAATGGGGTAAGTGGGCTAAATCCCTCCTGTTATTGAGTGATTGATTGGCATTATCATTTTAACTTATTTATTTATGTACTTAAAACATTTACAAATCTATTGGTTGTATTTTGAATATATATTTTTACTTTAGAAATTGATCCTTTTGGAGAGATAAAACCTTTTAGTAAAAAAAAAAACAAAACAATGAGAAGGGCTATTTTCTATTAGCCCAACCATTACACACACAATCTTTATTTGAAAGAGGGGCTTAATTTCTTCAGCTCGGAGTTTGATATCCACCAATCACAGCGTTCGTCATGTTTGTCATCGCTGCAGTTTCTGTGTAAACAATGGTGGCCTCGAGTGGAGTATTTTTTAAACAACACATTCTCTGCTTTGTCTTCTGTAGAAAAAACTTGAGGTAAAAAGACTCGCAGCACACCCTCTCAAGAATATTGAAATAATACAAAAGGATAAATCGTAAAATTCTCTATTTCCTGGTTGTGTTTCTAAAAGTTTACATTTTTTATTCTGATTCTGTTTTTTGCGTTCCTGTTTTCTGTTTTGGGGGAGACAAGGCTTGTCTGCCCCAGGGCAGCAGTGGTTACAGTTGTAGTTTTACTACCACTGTGTTTGGAGTGAATTAATATTACTTTGTGAGGCATTATTCACCAGTTGGATTCCCCTAAGTAACTAATTAGATTATACTGACTAAACAGAACTATACTCACCAAGATAAGTTAAATTGACTTTTAGAAATATTTAAATATTGCCAGCTTAAAAAAACATAATCTTTCTTCTCTTAAATTCCGTCACTACCACACATTTCCCACTAGATGTCACTGTGGGGGAGGGAGAGAACCGCCTCAGCCCAGTCTTCTCCCTCCCTCTCCCTCCTCCACAGTGACTGCTCATTATCATCGAGCTCACGTCTCTCAGCCACGAACCAACAACTTCTCAGACAAAGACAGACATATGTACGCGCCGTGTTCCCCCACTTTAGGAGGGGCGGGCCGGGTGCCGTGGGTGCGGAGTGGGTGCTGTGATGTGGGAGACAACACGTGTCGATGGGTGGGCGAAAGGCTGGCTGTGTGGAATATAGATAGTTGTGATAATGAAAGCTGGCATAGAGCCAAACTCACTGTAACAAGTATGTGTTGTGTACATAAAGGACAAGAGGGAGGGGGTGTTGACGATTTGAACTGAAAGAAAATGTGTCAGATTTGAAATATTATGCAGCCACAGGCATTAGTGCCATATACAGTACAATAAGTATGTATTCTGAGACATGTGTAGTCTCTCACCATCCATAACGTTTTCAAAGATAATTATGCACAGATTTAACCGCTTTGTATATTGCAGAGCCAATATTATATTTAAAATTATATATATTTAATAAAGGCAATATCATACTGCTGCCATATGTTGAAGGGTGGGAAAGGTTGGCGTGTCGGATGGACCTGTGTCAGGTAGGAACGTGTACAAAAGTAAGCGTCAAGACAAACTTTAGACTTACAAAATAAATGAAATCACAGCCCACTGCTCCCAGGGCCTCAGGGAGTCACATTGTCATGGAGTAATATGGACACTTAGACATGTTTCAGGGCGGCACTCTCGCCTCTCAGCAAGAAGGTCCTGGGTTCAAATCCCAGTCGGACCAGGGCCTTTCTGAGTGGAGTTTGCATGTTCTCCCCGTGTCTGCATAGGTTTCCTCCGGTTACTCCGGTTTCCCCTACCACTAAAAATATGTACAATAGTTCTGGCATGTGCCTCCTGTTCGGCGACCCCGCTCCCATCTCTGTGTGGAGTGCAAGTGCCCAAAAAATAACAATTGTAAACTGCTTTGTGACTCTGGTCTGTGAAAGGCGGTATATAAATAAAGATGACTTCCTTTATAAAGAAAAGACCAGCTGCTACTTATATTTTTAGCTAATTTAGCTTAAATACTGTACTGCCATATTGTTTTCCACTCACAGAAATATTCCTCTGCAAACATTACACAGCACAGATCGCTGCTACATATTTTAATATCTGAAATATTAAAAATGCATGAATGTATAATGGATCTGGTGCTGAGTAACAGTTTGCTGTTATATTGAAATGACTAATGGAGGCTGGCAGTCTGCTGAGCAGATGATAGCGCCTTGGATCCAAAGCTGCTCTACATCAGTGAAACAATACACATGCTATTTGCCATACAAGCAAAATAGTAACAGAATTACTTTTTCAATAGGTTTGTAATGTAAAAATAAATAATTTGTTGGACCAAATGTACAAATATCATGAAAAATTGTCTTTGGTGAGATGTGTTACAACATAAGAGATACCAACCGTGATAGCACACAAGGATCAGGACCTTCCCCTTCCCCCCACCCCTGCTGTCCAAATGCTCCTCTTTCCATCTTGTTACACTGTAATGCATGGGTCTTTTATAGCCCTTTTTCGACTCTGAAAGAAGCTTCACATGTCATTATTCATTCACTACATACACGGCGGAGATAAACTACGTCTGTAGCCACAGCTGCCTGGGGCACACTGACAGACCCAAGGCATGTGCCATCGACCCCTCCGACCACAACCAACCATTCTCGTACACATCAGACTCATTCTTGGACCAGTGTACAGTGTTTGTGTAACCAGTGTACAGTGTTTGTGTAACCTTGGTGCAGTGTGACGTACGGCGCACACATCACGTGGGATGAATCGTGTTTTCGCTGAGTGCATTAGTGCCAAGCACCGCCTTAAATATGGACACACTCTGGTGCTTTGTATCAGCAGACACTCAGCTGTCCCGGAATGACCCCAGACCCAGACCCAGACCCAGACCCAGCCTGACTCTGAGGGCAAAAGAATGGCAAGATGGGGAGTAGGGACTCAGTGTGTATGGAGTGAAGGAATATTGGGCCTCATTCACGAATACCTTCTTAAGAAACTTCTTAAATTTTTCTCAAGTCGTTCTTAATTAGATTTCTAAGAAGACCCTACGTGGGATTCATCAACGCGCCCGTAAGCCGCTGAATTGTTGGCAGCTGTTCTCTCAGATTGATGAATGCCAACTCCTCGTAAGTAGAGCGCGTGTGCCCGGTGATTCATTAGCATAGGTACTTAGCATAGGTAACCGCCCATTAATGCCCATATAAGGGACTGCAGGGCCGTGTGCAGACGCCAGAGGAAACAGCAACAGGCCTAAAGCAAAGAGTTACACGGAGCAAAAGAGTCACCCTTTTTTTCTTTGTTTGTCCGACTAAGAATAAAGTCATAAAATTTTGACTTTAAAGTCGAAATATTATGAGAATAAAGTCGAACTAGCAAAATTATGAGATTAATCAATAAATATGATGAGATTAATCTATAAATGTTATGAGATTAATCTATAAATATTATGAGATTAATCTATAAATGTTATGAGATTAATCTAAAAATATTGTGAGATTAATCTATAAATGTTATGAGATTAATTCAAAAATATATTATGTATTATTTTAAATATGAATCTCAAAATGTTATGAGATTAATCTCAAAATATTTCGGAATCTGGGTGGAGATCCAGCGCGGACCAGCGCTGAGACCAATGCTGACCCCAGGAGAGGACTGGAGGGACCAGTGCGGACCCGTAATAGATCCACAGGAGAGACCAGCGCGGACCCTGCAACCTCCTGCAGCAGCAGTATATATTCCATTGTTCTGTGGATCGTGGATAAAGAAATATCCCCTAGAAATAGGATGGGGTCACTAATAGACAGCATGATTTCCAATGTGTTTGATAAAGCGTTGGCACATTTCATTTCAAAATGAATAAAAAAATAGGCTAAATTACCATAAAAAATTACATACATTAATATGATGGACATATCACTGTAATGTTGTGTTTTATTGAAATTCACAAAAGAAGACAACACCAGCGTGCAAACGTGTCGGCACTGATGTGCGTAAGAGTGCTCCTGAGGACTCGTAGGATTTGTACTCTCCCAAGAGAAATTCTCGTTACGAGAAAATTTCATGAATGCCACAATCTTTGTAAAATCCTCGTAAGTAGGATTTACGCAGAAATTTGTTCTTAAGAACGGTTAGTGAATGAGGCCCATTGTTGTGAAGTGTCTTTGAGAGTCATGAAAAGTGCTAAATGTATGCATTACAGCAGACATACAGAGTGTGGCCACAGCTGCCCTGGGACAGACTAACGGTAGTCAAATCCATTGAAATTAAGCTTTAGGACATACAACATTATTATAGCCTTATAAATAATCCTGAAAATCTCACACAAATCACCACGTCAGCTTCAGCCTACATAACAAATAACAATAGTATAATATCATTGAATATAACAACAGTGTGAGCCGTATCCCGGCTGTGCAGTGCTCAGAGTGAGTAGAAGGCTGATGCTTACAGGTACCTGGCTGGAGAGGCTGAAGTTCGTGGCTGGGCTGCGCTTCTTGCCGGCCGCGGTGCCCATGGTGCTGTTGGCGCTGCTGGCAGAGTTCTTCCGTTTCCTCCTCTTGGTGGCGGGTTGTCGCGCGGGCTCAGCTTTGGCACGACCAGCAAACACAAAAACACAGGACACAGAATAATGCACACTGACGGGGCTCGGCATTTTCATGATTATTTATGTATTAGTGTAGTATTTATTAAGTGTATATAGTATTTGTATATATATATATATATATATATATTAGTATTACCAACTAGTGACCTTGTGTCATGTGTAATGCACTCTTTTCACCTTGTACGACTTAATCTAATCATACTGCTTCTATTCACTACATTTGCACTTTTTTGTATTTGTATATTTTGGTGAAGGACAACAGATGGAAATTATCATTCTGGTAAATTTGGTGCAATCATAAGTTTAAAGCATCTGCACATTGTCCGTATATAAACTACAGTAAACTACATTTACAGACTGGGGTCTGTAAGACTGGGGTCATTAAATGTGTTGTTCTGGTGAAGCACTTTGGGAACAGTTAGTGGTTTGGATAAATGTCCACTTTATAAGTTTAGAGTTATACAAAACAAATGAAAACTATTCACCACTTAAAAATAAGCACATTTGCAGCTTGTCTAAAAACTGTGAATGCCTCAATGCCATGCTATAATGTAATGACGTTATGACTAACTTCATTACACTCTAGCATGTGTTTAGAATGCACAGAATCAGGGCGGCACATGCCCCTGACCAGGAGGATACATTTTGGATGTAATGAGGGCAAAATCTGACAAAATGCAAATTTTTCAGATAAATTTTTTCAGCCTGAAATTATGAATGCACAATGTATTCAGATGATAATAAATGCGTTGTGCATTCATAATCACTTGAAAATCACTTGCACTTAGACAACCTGTCACTTCTCTTACCATGCATTCTATTCTAACAATGCTTTGTTATGGAAATGATGTAAAAACATCCTATTAATTACAACAGTGATGGAATGTTGCACCTGCAAACCTGAGCGTCCCATATAGGATCATGAATATTCTACATACAGACATGCAAATAAACAGGACAGAAGAGAATGTGTGTAATTAACCGAGCTTTTACAGACATCCATCTCCAACTAATGGCCCAAACCCACAGACAGGTGAGGAGCAGACACGACAAAAAGACATTCCACACAACTTCTCATTCAGAGAGTTCTGGGCTGTACGGTTTTGGAGAAATAGCTACTCGTAAATATAATTATTCTGACGATCCTGCGCGTTTGCAAATACATTTACAATATAATGCAGCAAAAGTAGGACTTTGTTATAGAGCTCAACCATTAAGGGTTTTTTGGAGGCCGTTTTTATTTCCAAAGTTTGACTGGCCAATAGTCAATCTAACGGGTCGATTTCAAATGAAATAAATTGCATTTAAAATGAGGTATAACATGCTATGGTAGCATATCAGCCTGATGGGAAGAAAACAAGTTGCAATTGAGATATTTCAAAATGTAAAAGAAACCAGCCTGATATATATCGGTCGATCTCTAATATTGATCTCTCTAATGTTGATTTGGAATAAAACATTGTTAACTCAGACGTGACTTCACACAGTTTTGTAGAAGTCTGAACTCTTCTTTCCTCTGCACTTAACATGAGGCTAAAGTACATGCTACATGTTCTATTTTTAGATGTTTTTTTTTTATTTTTCTTTTTTAGGCATTGCAATCATTTCCAACTGTCTTTGCGTTTTGCTCATTGCTTTCACTTCAGGAAATTCTGCTGTGTAATTTCTCTGGACCAAATTGTTTGTTTCATTTTTACACCATGTTTGTTTTTTTGAATCCTAAAATCACATCTCTGAGAATGGAGCCTGGATGTAGAGCAGATTGTCAGATGACTAAAATAAAAATGCCACAGTTTTGGCAAAGTATTGAATGGCCATGTTTCCAATAAACCTCACAATTGCAATTATATTTTGTATCTTCAATTAGGAACATTTTCTCTGTCTTAAGATTTGCTGATGAAAGCTGCATAGAATGGCAAAAGTTTGAAAAGTGCCTAATTCAATCAAATATGACAATTGCCACCGCTACAATTGTGATAAATTGCTGACTTTCAAAACTCTTAACAGATAATTCACCACATTGTACTTTTCCTTAAATACCCGAATCAAAAGCAGATCTGACCTAACACACAACATAAAACCAGATATTTTCCTCAATGAGAATGTCAATAGTTTCATGCAGTCCATGCAGCCGAGCAGTGTTAGTGCAGCCACACGCCACATGCAGAGGCAGAACAAGCAACATGTAAGAGGGAAGATACCTTTTTTGTGATTCGTGGGGAATATTTCCGTTTTGAAGTTCTGTGGGTGTCCAGCTGTAACAAGTACACTTCACTTAGAAGGGAGCGTGGCCCAGTGGCTACAAGTGTGTTAGCGCTTCACCAGTCACTTACACATACATACACACACAACAATCTTTGAACCATCTGACAGCATCGTTCATGATCACCTGAAGATGTTTTTAGCATCATCCACAATGTTATGAGGCTCAGACTTTCCCTCCCGCGCTTTCTTTCTATATTCTCCGGTCTCAAACTTGGTAAGCTGTGATGAGTCCTTTCACTATTACTGTCACGGTGTGGACTTTTTGTCAACTTATTTTTACCTGGTTATATTCTGATACATATTTATTCTCTTTTCTACTTCCTGTCTGTCCTGTTCATTGTTTGTCTGACACAGGTGTGATGTCTAACACCTGTGCGTACTCTGTCCCTGTGCTGCTGTCCTCTTGTTGTCGGCCCATTGTTGTGGTTTGTCCTCCATGTCTTGTCCCTGATCTCAGTTTTTACTTTTGGATTTTGTTTGGTTAAAGTAGCAATATGTAGGATTTTCATGTGAAGTCATCATTAAATGGTCCAAATCTGTCAAAAGGCGTTAATAAACCATGCTCTTTTCAAATACTTCTTTAGCTGATGACAGTAGTTCAGATATATTTGAATCTCAAAATTAGTTTTACAGGCCCTAAATTATTGTTTTCATTTCGATGTCCCGCCCTCCTTTTTTAATCACTTAAACAATTTCACAGTCTAATAAAACGAGCCAAACATGACACATAATGTTTATTCTAGCTTACCTAAAAATTACCAAAAATAACACACATTCATTTGTCCAACAGAAAGACTCTTGCAATAGTAAAATGTTGTGAACAAATCAGACCAAAAAGTGCTGCCATCATTTAAAAACAAAAAAAAATCATGTTTCCGAGAAGTCTTTGGGCTGAGAGCTGATTGGCTGAGTTAGGGCGGTCCTAAAGGTGGCCAAAAATACATGCATGTGAAAACAAGTGATGAAACCAAACTGTTTAGAGAGCGAGAATCTAGTGACATTGTTTATTATTATTATTTTTTAATCATTATTCAGTTGTTGTGTGTTGAAAGTTAGGTAGACCAGCTTCATTATGAAACGGTGACAACAGATTATAGCGCAGATGTGAAATGTGTTTGTACTGGTTTCCTACAGATACATTGATAATAATATAAAAGCATTCATTGCCTGTTCACACTCACAAATTCGCATTTTATTCTAAATCTAATTATTTTTTACTGTACATTTTGGTGAATTATTGCCGTCTTAATGAATAGTCTCCGTTGACTGTAAAAAAATATGATGTAACAAGACAAGGCAAAAATGACAACAAGGACTGCTCCCTCCTCCATTAGCACACAAAGGCGAGACCACTGGGAGACTGTTCCAAGATGTTTATCCAATTAAAGCCACACACGCAGTCCTTATGGAGCAATTATATCATAAAGGCGTCATTGGTATTAGACTGATCTGAGCAGGTTGAATGGGATCTAAATGTTTTTATGTATGTGTAAATGTGGAACTGTGAAAGCTGCCAGCACTTCATCAAATCATTTAATCTCCGGAGATGGAAGCGAACAATGATCTCGTTGAATTATGGAATACTTTTCTCTGTGCGTGAGAAGGCCTTTTGTGTCACCGACGCCGCTCATTAATTGTAAATAGACACAAAGAAAATGTAAATAAAAATCAGAGGGTCCTTTTGGAGGGGATTACGACCGTCAAAGAATTGTTGCAATGAGATGGAAGCCCCCTCATTCACTGTGCTGCCGCCCATGGATGACTGACATTGCCTATAGATATTGAAGCATTTACAGCTAGATACGAAACAGAGCTGCTGCTTATATTGTATATTGTGTGTGCGCCCTGTATGTGCGCTGCAACACTGAAATTTCCCCACTGTGGGATGAATAATGGTTTTTTTAAATCTTATTTTATATAAAAACAGCAGCAAGGAAATTACATTGTTAAGTGGGTCAGGGCCATAGACCAATTCAATTAAATATGTTCTGAATTTTTTATTTTTTTTTTATACAGTTTTTTAGGTTAATTTTTGGTTGTTTCCTGGATTTGTGTTTGTACTTTTATGTTTGATTTTAATAAGATTATTTGTCTGTAATATGCATGTTGTTGTAGTAGTAGTAGAAGTAGTATATTTTACTTGAGCAGTTTTACAATGTATTTTATTTATATATATATATTTTTAACATGCACAAATAATTCAAGAAAGACAAAAAAAATCTCAAAAGGAGAAGGCAGGAGCAAAAAGCGTAAAAGTGCCTTCCCCATTATCAATAATTAATTTAAGCGGCTGCAAAAATATTTACATTTTCACATGACATTTGATCATCATCATGTTTATCTTGTTGATGCAAACAAGCAAAAAAACAGCAATACTTATCAATTTAGGTTCCATTGTTCATCGCAATAATAATGTCTTAAAATAAAAAGTAAAATAAACAAATAATAGTATCTAAGAAATAAAAATTTGAATTTTACATCACACTCCCATCTGACTCTCTCAAGTATTGCCCTTTTTTTTAGTTTTTTCAGATTCTCCGGTGAAATTTTGACCTTTACAATCGCTGTGTTTGCAGATGGTAGCTTTTGGAATTTGGAAAAGATCAAATTCTACTTCCCTGGTGGTAGCACAGGGAGATACAGGTGGATAGAATTTGCCTTTATATTTTTGGTCAAATAATGTCTACTTAAGCTATTATTTCACATTCTAAAACATGAAAAGACACAATAAATAGTTACATCATGTTGATCAAAAGACAAATCTGACCATATTTGAGCCCTCGTGAAACTTTCTCATCTTCTGTATCAAAACTACACTTTGAGTTTTGCGATGTTTAAACTTTTACAGTTTCATGTCGACTTTACGCCTCTTGGTTTCCTCACAACTTCATCTGTGTGGTTTCTGTTTCTTTGTTTTTTCACTGTGACGCACTCAGCAACGCTTCCATTTCCAGGGAAAGGACTTATCCGAGCAAAAAGCGCCCGCTCCTTCCTTCCTGGCCCAATCCCAAACTGTTTCCAAGCAGGAGAAGAATCGCAGGAAAAGAGAAAATAACAAGGCACCAACTTTAGGAAAAGTCGTAAATCAGCAAAATTGTGAACAATATAAAAATACCAACGGTGCCAAACAGAGATCTCTGTTCTTTGGCAGGAGCGAGTCTTATTTTTAGTGTTCAAATATTATGACTTCATTTTGGCCCTAAACGTGATCTTGAAAATATCAGGCTCACATCAGATCTCAGCCCAAAGCATCAAATAGTGACTCACAGGGATCTTAGGTATGCAAAAGAACACTTATCATTACTGTTATTATTACAATATTAAAAAACCTGGACTTTGTTGGATGAAATTTATATTCTTTCATCCTGGTCTGTATTGGAGAGCTCTGGAGTGAGCTCTGGAGTGAGCTATGGAGAGAGCTCTGGATTGGGTAGTCTGATTACACAGCCCTTAATTGCACTTCCACCCAGGTTGGCGTCAAAGGCTTTCTGCTGTTGCTTTTTAAAGACATCTCGTCACGCCTGGATGAGCATTGCTGTAATTTGCAGACCCTCAAACCAAAAAAATAAAATAAAAAACCCAAAACATATTCCTCCCGCAGATCCTACTCCCAACGCCAATTTGTGGCTGCTACTACTTTTCAGAGACCTCCAATCATAAGAAAACACCAGCTCAGATGCTTGTTATATAAAAAAAAAAGGAAAATTAAATCAAATCTGAGCGGTTTGAGATCCACAGCCAGGAATGCTGATTAATTCCATGTACCTGACAGGCAAAACACATTTACAGGATTAAGACACATAATGGTAATTTGGGTACATAAATGATGCAATAAAAACAGTCGGAAAGAAAATATTCCAGCTCCCACCAAGTGACAGATGGCGCTGAATTTCAATGAAACAAAGCTGTTTTCAAAGGAAAGGATAGAAAGCTCTTGACATAAAGACCAAGATCTCGTTATTCTATGTTGATTTAACAAAGAAAATATACAAGTGAACAATAATGTATGTAAGTGCGATTTACATGCATTGGTAATAATATATATCAATATCTATTCATATTAATTACATTAAAATATTGGTTTCTTGTTGACAAGTGAATGAATAATAGAAACTGACTACAGACTACAGTCTATGATGTCATAGCTGGCTACAAAACCTATAATAAAACACTGCATGGAAAATATTGTAGAGCTACGCTAACAAAATATGGACATTATAGTTAGCAGACAGCTGTGCTGCCTTGTCATGCATTTCAACCAGTTATAATGGAGATTTTTGAATTAAGAAGATTAAAGTATACTTTAAAGTGAGCGTAATTGTAATTTACAGCAAAAGACTTTCTGTCATCCCTTTTTAGATATTGGAGATGTTGGAGATGTAAGATGTAGTTACCTGGTGGAGCCACCATCCTCTGCCACTTCTGGAACAGGCATGTCTTCAGACAGTCTCGGGGGCTGAGGTTGTATGTCTTGTGCCGGGACATGAGCTCCTGCATGGGCTCCAGGATGACGCACAACTGCACACAGATTTGTTTTATTAAAGCTACTACAATGAACACTACACTTGATTTTGTGTTGATCTTAATACACTGTAAAATTGAAAGGACACGTAGCAGACTGCTGTCTGCTTCAGATGATAAACAACATCATCTAATGTAAAGTGCTCAGGTCTCTGCATATCTGGCTATATGGCTTCCTGTGGTTCAGAGATTAGACTATAAACCATCTCTGACTGTGTGCAAGTCTCTCCTTGGCCTGAGGAGCACAGGGACTGGCCTCCTGCTAAAACTTTCAAGAGCACAGGGACTGGCTTCCTGCTGGGAATCTCAGGAGCACAGGGACTGGCCTCCAGTTGGTGCCAAGATGCCAGGACGACAAATGGGGACACTTCAGACTTACGCAACTAATATCTGGAACAGTCTTCCTGGAATAAGGAGACAGGCTTCTTCTCTGAAAATGTTGTATGTGCAGTGATTATTTATGCATTTTTGTGGATTTTAATACATTTTCTTAACACCTTGAGTTGCCTTGTGTATTATCTGTGCTATACAAATAAACAGGCCTTGCCATATTCACAGTCAGTGAATATAGTTTGTAGCCTGTGAATCATGCAGTCACATCATTTGATATCGTTCTTGCCAATGCAGGAGGCTCAAAGAACAGGGAATGAAGGTTTATGGCCGTTGGTTAACCTGTATTCATGGACCTGTTATCAATGCCTAATGCTCACTTAGCCGGGACGTGTCTACAGTTCCAACCCCTAATGAGAGGAGACAGCCGTAATGAACTAGCTTGACGACAATACATTAGTTGAAAATTTCCAACATCTGTTATTTGCATGGACAAGGCTCAAGTCCAGGTCCAGTGTGAACTCCCGTCACCCTGAAAGAACTCATCAAAAGTGCACTAAAGGTGTGTTCGTCTGACACGGTGCTTCTCCCGCCGCTCCGCTTATCACCATGGAACCAAACGCTGTCTATTAAAACAGTGCCTGGCTTTGCTTCTCAATGAATCACCTCCAGACTGACGTTGAGTGATTAAGAGCACGGGATAAAGCCACTCGTTTCTCAAACACAGCTTAATAAAGAGCCTCTAAAAGCTGATGTACGGCCTGAGGACAAGTGCGCAGATAAAGCAGGAGCGATGGACAACAGGATACATTCCAATGCTATGTGTCTGAGTCCTCACCGCTGATTCTTTCCAACACTGAGGACAATTTTTCTCACTCGAATTTCGCAACATCAGTGAGTGCCTCATTAAAATTTTAGGAAAGAACCGCCCTCTCCACTTTTTGAAGGACCAATAGTCTTGATGATCCACCCGGAAGTAGAAAATCCTTCTATATAATTAAAATGATTTGAAAGAATCATACTGTATTTCTCATGTTCGTCAGTATATGCTTCTCTATAGGTACGACAATTAAAAGAGGTGAATTACACACATTACAGTCTCTTCAAATATTCTCTAAATTAGGGCTGAGTGTATGTGCTAATGAGTACTATTCAATGTTTGTGAATAAGTTAAATACCGCGTCCATAAATGCTCTTTTCTCAGCTTTTTTTCCCGGAGCCATTGGTTGTCATTTGTCAAGTTGCGGTTCAAGCTGGGGTACCTATTTTTTGTCATGTGAATAATTCATGTTGTTTGTCCGAATGGAAAGAGACTTGTAAAATAAATTCATACAAAAAATGTAAGTAATTCTAAAGACTAAATGTGAATGATAATATTGTGAACTTTTGTGAAAATCGACATTGAAATATGTTCTAGACCAATATATGATCATTTCCCAAGAGAAAAGCATGGAACCATTGAACCAAACTTGGAATTACGCAATTGGAGCCTGGTAACAATTTGCGCACACTTTCGGTCATGCTTATTGGACATTAACTGCTTTCTCTAAATGTTGCCAATATCTTTTCAGTAAAACTCAATCCCACGTTTTTTTTTATGAACTGCATTTGATTCCCACACTCTTCCCCACCACCCCGTCTGCTCTGGTCTCCGTTTCGGACCAGTAAATCCTTAGAGAGGTGCGGGGAGAGGAACCAGGGGTCGATCTGTCATTTTCAATCCGTCAGCCTTTGCCTACACCACCACAAACATCTGGAGAACATTACCACCAGGTTCCTAGCCCTGTTCTGCTAAAGCTGCCATCCCCAAACCTCCATGTAAGCAGTGGACGTCAGGCTTGGAGTGGCGTTTTCATGGTCCAATCACAAGACGGCATGGAGATCAAATGGCAGACACACTGATCTTTCTTATCCCTAAATGGATTCTACTGTCCTCTTCAAAGCCATTAAAATCGTCTCGCAGATTTACTTGTGATGATAACATCGACATCTGCCTATTTGAGAAATGGGCTTTGGAGCTTTTCAAACTGCCATCCTGAATTCTTCTATTCTATACTTCTTCTTCTTTGTTGATTTAAAAAAAGTAAAGTGATATTGTGCCTACTAGTGTGTACTTTATTAGGATGATGTTTAGAATGAACTATGTGATCTAGTCAAAATACAATTATTATAAATGGACTTATATGAACAAGACGCAAAGCTTCTGCAGCTTTGGCCTCATTTCCACTGCAAAAACACAAGCATTTCATTAAGAAACAAAACAAAACAAAAGTCCCTTTTTGAGCAACACTGGCTGGTTTAGTATCTTTCCTTTACAAAGTTGTCCTTGTCCTCACATTATGAAAATGTATTCCATATACTCGCAATATATTCAAACGTATATTGTTCTACGTGGATGACCCCTGTAGTCCTGGGGTCTCCAACCTACTGTATAGCTCAGGAGCTGCCAGTAGCTCACCACCTTCTTCCGCGCAGCTCTCCAAAGGGTTTAGAAATGGATTAGGGTTAGGGTTAGGCTTTTCACAGTTTTTTTCTACTGTCCCCAACCCCCTCCAAAATATTTTACTGGGTGTGTGAACTTTCAAGCACAATATACTGTACATGTTTATCTGAGTATTTCCAAAGCAAAACGAGAAACATCCAATATTCTCAAGCTCATGTTTAATTAAGGACCAAAAGTAACGTCAATACAAATGAAATCAGAGTTTTTGTTTATGTCAGAAAACCAGACAGTCTTCCAAACAAACTGTAGCCGTTTCATCTACATAAAAATGTAGAGTTTTGCAGCGATGCATCTTCCAGAAGTCATTAAGGTGTCTGTAAAGAAATTGCCCACAGCGCTTGTTTCTTGGGATGCTTTAGATTTGAGACAGTCTCACTCCGGCGCACGCACACAAACATATAATCACAGCTGAGGCAGACGCTTCTGTAGCTGCCCTCTATACACCATGAAAACAGTTATTATTTTTTGCAGAGAGCGCGTACAATTTGTGCTTTTCCGTCATAGGCAAATAAAACATGAGCTGCAATCCATAAATGAAAAGAGGCTTTTAGTGTTTTTATTTAACTAGCACTAAATATCAGCAAAACATATACTGTATGTCTGGTTTTCTCTCAGGCAACCATACACATGCGTTCAATGGTTAAACCCCATGACCAACGTATAATAAGTAAATCATCTGTTTTGAGCATGAAACATTGTTCTTTATTTGTCATGAGGTGAAAGATGAATGAAGGACCCAAAATGCAGGAATGCCAAAATAAGGGTTTAATTATAATAAAATAAAAGTCCAGGTGAAAACAAACTCAAAACCCAGGAACCAGGATAACTGACGGACAAACACGGAGACAATACAATGGACCAGGGGAACCAGGGGAGAGGAGCACAGGTACATATTAGGGCTTTGACTTCAAATTTTGAAATTCTATTATAATTTGAATATTAAAATATATATATATATATATATATATACATATTCGAACAAATATTAGACAGCCCTTAATAATCTAAGCTGTAATGGGCATTATCTTTTTTATATAATATATGTATATATATATATATAATAGTTAGTTCCCAAAGGTTACACCGTGACGTGGCTAGGCTAGTAACAGCTATGCTAGCTAACTAACTAGAACTCTCTGGAACTACACAAAAACTTAAAGAATTCTGAACATTAGCTGTGAGTTACCCATTTATATACCGAACCAAAATCCATAATCAGATCCTCCTCAAATGTGTCCTAAAATGTGACACTAATGTTAATAGTAACTTCCGGGTTTTTCACAATCGTTTTTGGTCACATTAAAACAGTATTTTGGTCATGAAAACGTTTACAGATCATTCTGAAAACCTCCGTGAACGTGTGTTAAGAATGTATATGCATAATGTATTCTCCCATTAACATTTAAATGTATTGATTGATTGATATTTGTGTTTTTGAGCATGGCTAGCTCCGATAGCTTTCCTGCACAGACAGAAGTAGTGACATATTTGAATATATTTGAATATTTAAATTAATAAACAAACAATGAATGATTTTTGTGCAAAAGTCAAAGCCCTAGTACATATAGACATAGACACAGGTGAAACACATCAGGGCGGGGCAGACAATCAAGACAGGGGAACAAGACAGGACGTCAAACTGAAACCAAACCACAGAGAACTAATTTCAAAATAAAATCAAAGTACAAAATAAAATATCCTCACCATGACATTATCTCCATTAACACCAATATCGTACATGCAACTTGAGAACAAAAAATGTTGATTGATTTCACAGTGACAATTGTTTCTTGTACTGGTAAGCTTGTGTTATGTTGCACACTGGGGTACTTTTGCACATGTATTCCAATGGGGTGTCAGGGATGAAGCAGACAGAGACGGATCGTGGTGCGCCAAACTCTGGAAGTTTATTTAAGTTTCTCTCAAGTTCCAGTGGTTTACTCTGTTTCTTTCTCTCAGACAGAATAAAGGCAGTACACAGTTTATATAGTCATTGTCACGTCACACATGGAAAGACATACGTGTCACAAAGAGACAGTCACATCATAGTCATAACATGGAGTCCTTGTAGAGTCCTTGTACAGTCCTGCACGTAGGCCATATTGCTATCTAATACTAACAGGGGTTTTACTGAAAATGGCAAATATAATGAATCTATATCTGA